GTGCGCGCCAAGTAAGGTGCGACGACCAGTGAGTACATGAGCGTTCCTATTTCCTATCATTCATCTCTTTTTCCGCAATTAAAAGGTTAAATAATTCGCGTATCGGTATAGCCATTTTACGGTAAATTAAAATGGCTGAGTTGAAAACTCTAAATAAAACGCGCGGCACTCTAAAATCACGCGTAACTGTATTTAAAAGATTTTTAGAAAATACTAGAAGCAATAACCCTGACGAAGCTCAGGCGTTAGACGACGATACTCAAGAGCAAGTAAGGGAAAGAGTATCCAAAATAAAAGGGGTGCTCAACGAATTTGAAAAGGTTCAGGCTGCCATCGAGTCACTTTCCGACGACGCTGAAGCTAATCTACTAGAAAGAGAATCATTTGAAACAGATTACTATGAGGTTACTACAGGTGCTAACCAATTGTTGCGTCGGGGAGTAGCACAGGTACAAGGTAGAAATCAACTTGAGGTAGGTCAGAAAGTAAGCGGACAAACCGACCAAGCCGGGCCGAGTCCTTTCAGTACACGAACCGAGCCGATTCTCTCGCCTCTTTTTCAATCGATCACAAGCAATCCGACGGGTGTTCGATTACCAGTGATAGAACTGCCCAAATTCAAGGGGGAACTATCAGAATGGTTAAAATTTCGGGACACATACAAATCGCTAATTCACGACAACCCAAACATAACTAGTGTGCAAAAATTTCATTACTTGCAAGCTTCATTGGAAGGAGGGGCGTTCGAAACTATAAACGAATACGAATTCTCAGAAAACAATTACGAGGAAGCATGGCGTTCCCTTCACGATAGGTACGATAATCCTAAATTGCTAATTCAAAATCATATCGATTCAATTTTCAAAATAAAGGGCTTGGTCGGTGAATCTGCGGAGCAATTATTAGAATTGTTAGATAGCGTCACTAAGCATACGCGTGCGTTAAAAAAGCTAAATGAGCCCATCGAGCATTGGGACTCTTTGTTAATCTATATAATCGTATCAAAGTTAGATTCCGTTTCCGCAAGGGAGTGGGAAAAGAAAAAAGCGTTAGTGCCGGAAAAGGCAAAATTAAGCGATCTAACCAAATGTCTGCGAGCGCGAGCGTTATTGCTGCAAACCTTGCGAGCGAAAGATGATAAGGAAGCAAATAAACACAAGTTTAAACGCGGTCAACAAGAAAAAACCAAAACTTTCCACGCGGGGAAGGTAACTTGCGCGCTTTGCAAGGAGGGACATCACATTCAGGGATGTGAGTCATTTCTGAAGCTAGATACCCAACATAGACTTGAGAAATTAAAAGCCCTCAAACTTTGTACAAATTGTCTCAGACCCGGTCACTTTGCGAAAACTTGTAATTTCGGCTCGTGCAAGTTATGTAGCGCGAAGCATAACACGCTTCTTCACTTCGAAAGAGGAAAAGCCAATACGGACAAAAACGCTGCACAAGAAGCGTCGATCGTCGCGTCCACAATGTGTTCAACGGGTTTCAATAAACCCCGTAAGGAAGCTAACACTATTCTATCCACCGCATTGGTCAACGTTTCAGGACGAAGCCATATGAAGATGGAGGCGCGAACTTTCCTGGATTCATGTTCTCAGTCAAATTTTATAACGCGAAATCTGTGTAAAAAAACTCAAACTTACGCAATCGCCTGTCAATATACAAATAGGAGTGCTTGGTCAACTTGGCCCGGGCGTTGATGGACAATGCGAAGTGGAAATCTCGTCGAAACACAGCGGCTACCGATTCAAGGTACATTGTCTAATCGTGGCTCAAATCACAGAAGATCTAATGCCAAGCTCGGCGTTCAGTCTGGAGTCTATGGGAATCCCCCCGCATCTCAAGTTGGCAGATCCCTCTTTCAATACTCCTGGGAGGATTGATTTGCTCGTCGGGGCCGAATGGTTCTGGGATCTCTTGTGTGTGGGCCAGAAGAAACTTGAAAATAATTTGGTCATGCAAAAAACTAAGCTAGGCTGGGTCGTGGGAGGACCAATGGCCGCTCCAGCGCCACAACGCGTGGAATGTTATTTATCAAAAGTAGCTAGCATAGAAAAACAATTAATTAGATTCTGGGAGCTTGAAGAACCGTCGAAGGAAGGGGCCTTATCAAGGGAAGAAGAGGCGTGCGAAGCGCATTTCAAAAGAAATACAAAACGCGACAAAAGCGGAAGGTTCATCGTTAAACTACCATTCAAACAAGAGCCGTCTACGTTAGGAGACTCTAGAAAACGAGCGGAGAAGCGGTTTTTGACACTCGAAAGAAAGCTGCTGCATAACAAAGCCTTGCAAGAAGAATACTCTGCCTTTCTGAAGGAATATGAAGAGCTGGGCCACATGCGAAGAATATCGGACAATGAAGAACCGCCGCATTCATATTACCTGCCTCACCATTGCGTGATTCGATCTGACAGCGAGACAACCAAGCTCAGGGTGGTGTTTGACGCTTCTGCCGCGACAACAAATGGTGTGTCGTTGAACGACTTACAAATGACTGGCCCTGTCATACAAAGTGACTTATTTTCGATTTTAGTAAGGTTCCGAAAGCACACTTACGTGATATCAGCAGATATAGCCAAGATGTACCGCCAGGTATTAGTGATTCCTGAGCAAAGACCGCTACAAAGAATATTATGGCGCGAACAGCCGGAGCAACCAATCGAAACATTCGAGCTGAACACCGTGACTTACGGTACAACGGCAGCGTCCTTTTTAGCAATTAGATGTTTGAAGCAACTTGCAATCGAATGCGAGCAGAGCAACCCCAACATTGCAAAAATCATCAAAGAAGATTTTTACGTCGACGATCTGTTGACTGGCGGGGAGACTCTCGAGGAGGTAGTCTCCATCGCTCGAGGAGTAAGTGACGTTCTAGCCGGTGGATGTTTTGAACTTCGCAAGTGGAAGGCGAACAATCACGAATTTCGCGCAATATCAAAGGGTGCGAATAAACCACTAGCTGAAGTACAACTACACAAAGACGGCAACAAGCGAACATTGGGTTTGGTTTGGCGCGTGGAAAATGACATTTTGACGTACAGCGTGGACCTGCCGAGGAACAATCAAGTTACGAAACGCAGCATACTTTCAGTGACATCAATGATTTTTGACCCTTTAGGTCTTCTATCACCTTGTACTATAATGGCAAAAATTCTAATTCAAAAACTATGGCTAGAGAAATTATCGTGGGACGAAAGTTTGCCATCGAGTCTGCACTTTCAGTGGACGCAATATTACAATCAACTCAAGTTGCTTAATAATTTCAGAATTCCAAGACAAGCTATGGCGCCAAACGCGGCAAAGGTACAGATACACGGATTTGCGGACGCTTCAAAAAATGCGTATGGAGCATGTGTATACGTTCTAGTGGTGGACGTCGAATCAAAAATTCACACTAACTTATTGTGCGCAAAAACGAAGATCGCGCCGTTGAAGACTCAAACAATTCCTCGCCTGGAGCTCTGCGCTGCGTTGGTGCTCGCCAAGCTGATCTCAACGGTCGAGGGCGCTCTTGAAGCAAGAATTGATTCCGTCACTTATTGGAGCGACTCCACTATAGTTTTGGATTGGTTACGCTCAGCCGAGCCGCCTGCCAGTTTTTGAATCTAATCGTGTGGCTCGAATACAAGAATTGAGCAAGGACAGAGTATGGCGTCACGTACCTACGGAGCAAAATCCAGCCGATTTACTCTCCCGCGGAACTCAGCCGCAGGAGCTACTAAATGCGACGCTTTGGTGGAAAGGGCCTGCCTTTTTGATGAGCGGCTCTCACTCTTGGCCTAAGCGATTGGCCCACAAGATAGACTCTACGCCTGTCGAGTTTACGTTTACAGCAACGAGTTCACCGACCAACATTATCGAAGAGCTCCTTTTACGATATTCTAGTCTCTCGAAAGCAACACGTATTCTCGCCTATTGCATTCAATTTATCAGCAAGCTAAAACCAGGAGGAAAAGAAAACGACGTATCAGTCATTCAGCAACGCAGATCGGCGATAACGCTGATGATAAAGCACGTGCAGAGCTCAAGTTTTCGCAAAGAAATATCCATGCTTAATCAAGGAAGTAATGTTTTAAAAGGGCCACTAGCTTCATTGACTCCATTCCTGGACAAAAACGGGGTCGTACGAGTTTGGAGGTCGATTGGGGAATTCAGAGTTCAAATATGACAAGAAGCACCCAGTCCTCCTGCCAGGAGGTCACATATTCACAAAACGTCTGTTTTCCGAAGAGCATATCCTGTGGTTACACGCTAGTCCTCAATTACTTTTAGCGTCTATTCGTGAACGATTTTGGCCCCTAAGGGGAAGAAATTTAGCTCGCAAAACGGTCAAATCATGTACACGTTGTTTTAGAGTTAATCCAAAGGCAATGCAGCCACTCATGGGTCATCTCCCTCGAGATAGAGTGACAGCTGCATTTCCTTTTGAAACTACGGGAATCGATTACGCGGGTCCTTTCCAAATTAAGGATCGTAAAGGAAGAGGTTGTAAGGTATCAAAATGCTACATATGTCTGTTCGTATGCTTTGCCACTAAGGCTATGCACCTCGAGTTGGTGTCGGACTTAACAGCGGAAGCATTCGTAGCAACTCTGAGACGTTTCGTGTCGCGTAGGGGAAAACCGTCGCGAATTTATTCAGACAACGGAAAAAACTTCGTAGGCGGAAACAATGCTCTCAAAGAGCTTGGTAAGTTTTTGATCGAAGAAGCAAAGGTCATAAGTGAATTGATGGCAGACTATGAAATCGAATGGAATTTTATCCCAGCATACTCGCCTCATTTCGGTGGCCTATGGGAGGCAGGGGTAAAATCCGTAAAGCATCATTTAAAAAGAGTCGCGGCCAACGCATTGTTAACTTTCGAGGAATTTTACACCTTGCTCGTACAAGTAGAGGCCGTTCTAAATTCCCGCCCATTAACTCCACTGTCATCCAATCCTGACGACCTCTCTCCATTGACCCCCGCTCATTTTCTTATTGGTCGGCAATTCAACTCCGTTGTCGACCCAAGTTTGCAGCATATAAAGGAGTCTCGACTCTCTATTTGGCAAAGAGTGCAGCAGATTGAGCAAAATCTGTGGGAGCGATGGAACAAGGAGTGTATATCAGAAATGCAGCAGAGAACCAAGTGGCGATCTCCATTTCCCACTCTGCCACGAGGCACACTCGTTCTAATCAAAGAAGACAACCTTCCACCAGCCAAGTGGAGATTAGGAAGAATCGAGGATACGCATGCTGGCAGCGATGGCATAGCTCGAGTTGCGTCTATACGCACCTCTTCGGGCATTGTTCGACGCGCATTTGCGAAATTGTGTCCATTACCTTTAGATGAGGAGAAGACTGTATAAGCATAGTTTAAGTACAATTTGCGTTCCTATAGTTTGTTTAAGAACAATTTAGTTTGTATTTCTACTACGATTTATCGCGAAGCAACTCACATTACATTCTTTTGTTCCTTTTCAATTGTTCTAAAGAATATAAGTCAACTACTTGTGCAATTTTGACATATCTAGTCGCGTTTGACCAAAGATAGTATAATATGTTACTTTAATTGTCAATTTTTAGCATAGGCATCAACCTTTATAGCAATTATTGCCTCTAGTTTATAAAACCTTCGTTTGAATTTACGTTTCTAAGTGATTGCGTTACTTTTATATTGGCTCGAGCAAATTTTACAGGTATTGCGTTTAAAAATGAATTGCGCAGCGTTTATATTTGTTTAAATACGTTGTATAGGTTTATTTAAAGCCGAGTCTTTAATGGCGGGGAGTATTATGTTTCGTATTACTACTACACCGCTCGATGATTCAAAGGGGGCCCATAAGCGCCCTTTTACTCTTGCGCACATTGTCATGCCCAACGGTAGCAGCGCCACGCGCGTTCTTTTTGGGGCACTATTGTAAGATGGCCAGTTGGCCACAGTTGGCGAATAAAACCCTTAGAGTCCACACGTGTCCTTTTAGTTACCGCATCCCATGAGAAATCCAGCATAACTATATACACAATGGATAGGGCCGTACGTCATTACGGAGAAGCACTCGGAAGTAAACTACACTATAAGAAAGGGACGACGAAGCCTACGAGTGCACGCAAATCGCATAAAGCCCTTTGTAGAATATTAAGCGAAAAAACAAAACTACAAACAAAGGGAAAAGGAACGGGAATTAAAGATAGAAAATAAAGTAAATGAATAACATAGAGATAAATACCGAGAAAAAGTCAAGTATAATTAAGAAAATAAAAATATGAGTACAAAAATGTGTATAAAAGAAGATTACATATAAGATTACATGTAATATGAAGATTAAAGATAAAATATATGTATATGAAGATGATTAAGGGGGCATATACACCTAGAAGACCAAAAAAACGTTAATTTT